GACACGAGACCGATTCGCCATCGGCAGCGACCCTTGAGCCGACTTCCGCGATTGATAGGACTGTCATGCTGTGGTGTGACAATATGTTGTGTCATGCTATGATGTCACTGATGCGCCATCACCACAGCGTACCATATGGTTCTTTATCAACGAGTCGTGCCAACCGACTCTTCCAAATAACGCTGCACGCTTTGCAGCGAAATGTCTGTTCTGAATTAGGAACTGAATAACGTTAACGACCAATTATTTTGCAACATCCCCAATGCCATGGCGATGTATGGTTAGAGGTTCCCCCCACGGAAACACGTCAGTCCTAGCAGCTCTGCAGCTCGGTCACATCCGCGCGTGGGTGTGAGCGAGCCAGAGCGGCCACGTGGGGGCGGCCCCTGCCAGACGCCGTGACGACGGCGTCTGGCGGAGGTCACCAGGGACCCGGTATCGCGCTAGCCAAGCCGTGGACGGGCAGCCGCGTGACGAGGCCGCGGCAGCCACGCCTTAGAAATACCCGGGTAATTTTGGACCAGTCCAGCTGAATTACGGCACGGGCTTCAGCCGAACGCCCGTAAACATTGCCGCATTCAAACGCCAGTTGAAATGATGCCGATGGTTCCATCAGATCTTCGTTCGACTCTGAGAGAAGTCAGGTTGACTTTGGAGTCCGCTTTTTGCTTAGTCCAGGCGGCGCTGACGAAGATGATTGATGTTCGTGTTATGGGTTAGAGCTGAGTCAGTCGTATCAAATGAAATTATAGACCAGTCGGCTCAAATGCAAATGCAAATGGCATCATGTTTTGCCATCTGCTAATAAGCGGCCAAAAAGAATGCCGGATGCGTTGCCGCCTGCTTATCGCGCATAGTCTGTCACAGCTCTGGTTGTCCTGTGTGCAGTGCTAAGTTGGAAGCATGACTGCATGATTCCGACCACTGAAAGGCTTATTCTCGACAGACAGTGATCCCTCTGAGAGACTGCAGCATAGTCCCAGACAGACAGCAACCCTTCTTGCAGACCACGATCCCATGGAAGACAGTGACTTAAGCAGACATCGCCCCCGCCCCGCGACAGAAAGCTATTCTCCCGCCCTCGACAGCGGACCGGGAACCAGCGAACCAGTCAGACGGGCACCAGCCAACAGCCGTCCGGTCCCGACGGCCGGCCACTGAGACGTGCTCAGCTGGTGGCCACCAGATGACCACCACTGGTGGGCAGCCGCCGGCCTCGCCACGGTCCCACATGGACCCGAAGAAGGTCCGTCGGGCCGATCCCGCCGGCGACCGCACGCCTACATGGTCCTGGCGACCGCCCCACCAGACCATACCGCACACTCGCCAGACCGTACCGCACACCGTCCGGGCCGTACCGCACACCCTCCGAGGCCGTACCACACTCCCTCCGAGCCGTACCACACACCCTCCAAGCCGTACCGCACTCCTTCCGAGCCGTACAGCACACCTTCCGAGCCGTATCGCACACTTTCCGAGTCGTACCGCACACACTCTGAGCCGTACCGCACACCCTCCGAGCCGTACCGCATACTTTCCGAACAGTACCGCACTCCTTCCGAGCCGTACCGCACACCTTCCGAGCCGTACCGCACACCTTCCGAGCCGTACCGCACACCCTCCGAGCCGTACCGCACACTTTCCGAACCGTAACGCACTCCTTCCGAGCCGTACCGCACACCCTCCGAGCCGCACCATACACCCGCTGGGCCGTACCGCACACCCGCCAGACCATACCGCACGCCTACTGGCAACACGACGCGGCTCACACAGCGCCGACTGTGAATGGCGGCGGAGGGGCCGGCCGGTTCATTGTTCCCTGGTGTAATCAGTGTACGTCACAGCCTTGCATTGGCGTCAGAGGCGTATTTGGCGGCGCCTGGGGCGTGCGAATGCCGCAGCCGCCGCTTGGCGACTGCCGCGCACGGTCGGCGGGGTCTTCGGGTCCGGCTTAATTTGTTGGCAAGGGTGGCGCGGTTGTTTAGTCTTCACTCAGTTATGACTGGTCCAAAGGTTTGTTCATACCGATTTGATAAAATCAAGCCGTCACCTATCACACGAATTGTTTTTCGCAAACACCGTCCTTGTCCAGCACGCTGTGCAGACGGGGCCATGCGATAGGCAAGTGAGGTAAGTTATCAGTGTCGAGGACTTTGAGAGCGACATTGTGGCGTTATCGCTTGACGCACATGCTCTTCTCGTAATTTATAAACGCATCAACGCTGAAATGACGAGTTGGTTTTTTTTAGTGTTCTCCAGAAAAATCAACATGGTAAGCACCCGAGAGGTCATGTTTAACACGCGCCCGGGTGGCCGGCTACATACCCTTCGCCCCGGGTGTGGGGGTCAATTTGATCCCCCTGAGATCTCGGGAACTAAGAGAGGTAGAGGCACCAAATTCACAGGGTGTGTTGAACTGTACGTGAACTTACTTAGGTCAAGGGTTGAGATTCCTAGATCATAACATTTGTGTCAAATAAGGTCAAACAAGGTCAAATTCCGGGTTGGTCTCCAAAGTGTCCCCAGAACCTACATAACTGTTTCTAAGAAAAAGGTCATATGCTCATGTGAGGGCAGTGACCTTGCGTGGCCTTTTGAAGATCATGGTAACCAAAATCATACAAGACTGCCCTGAGTTTTGCATTTGAATAAGCGACAAAGATAACGCTAGGCGGTATGTCTACGAGAAAAAATGTTGACCTGGGTCATTTTGGGTCAATGACCTATTCTGAGCTCTAAGAAGTCCATGGAAGTTGCATAATGCAGTTCCTGCTATTAATAAATTCGAAATGAGCACCAGAAACTATCCCATACAGCAAGCTCTTGTGTAATAAAACAGGTAAGTTTTGACCTTGGTCAACTTATATACCTGACCTTAGGTCAACATAATTTGCTCATTTAATATTTGTGGTGCCTAAGAAGCATCTCAGAGATTATGGCTTCGTCTAACACTCCGTTGTCGCATCAGATTGAGCGATTCCCTATAAATTGGCTTCGCTGAAACCGTGACCTGACTTTGACCTACCATAGGTCAGAGACCCGATAAGGTTTATCTAAATTGTTGATTCCAAACGATCCGCTATTTAATTTTCCAGAGCTATGTAAAATTTGGCGCGGCTGTGCCGCGCCGTTCGGAAACCATTCCGGAAAACCTTCGGGAGTGGGAGGGGGGGGGGGGGGGTTCAATCTGACCCTCCACTCGAGCGCGTGTTATGGAAATGTTCCACATTACAAGATATTGAGACAAGGATCAGGTAACGGAATAAGCTCGCCTCTAGCGAATGGTGTACTTTTAAGTGAAAAATACTGCTGTATATATCATATTTTCTTTATTTAGTAAATATGCTCCTCAACACATCACTGTTTGATTGCGTCATGGAACATTTGTAGGACGTTCAAGGTGTTGCCAAACTGGCCGGCGAAATATCCACTACGGCACCCACTGTACTCCCGAGAGGTGGCCTTGGCAGTGCTGGAGGTGTTTGCTGGGCCAAATATCGCCATGCGCTCCTGTTTTGGCCCTTTCTCGTGGCGTTTGTGCATAGGTGTCCGTGGTTTTATATCATTAACCTGCATTCACATGGTTGTTTATGGCGCCGCTCTTAAGCCAGTCTAATTCCCTCACGACTAGCACCACTGTCCGATTCCTGTCTGGTGTAGCACAAAAAACGATCCGACCCTCTTATCCTCCTTTTCTTGTTTTATCCTGAGCCTTAACAACGTCCCGCTTGTCGGGGGCAGGCTGCATACGTCAGCCACGAGTGGACCGAGAAGCCCATGAAGGGGATCCCGACCAGGAGCCCTGCACACACTCCGAGTGGTCCCTGCGCGGAGCAAGTCACGGCAGTTGGGGTTCAAGGCGCAAGCATTCCTGCCCCACCGTGCTCCATTCTTCTCCATTCCATGAACTTGAAATTATCACCATTGGCTGAAAGGGCGCTAGTCCAAGTGGGCGTGTTTAAAAGCTGCACTGAACGCATTGCATTGGTTAAGGGCAAATTGAAGTCCGTTGATGTCAGAAATGGTGCTGACGTACGCCAGAAAAGAATAACTCCGTGATAACATTTTTCTTGGCTTTGGCTATTGCATAACCAATAAGGTGGTAGTATTAGCACAACGTTTCTGTGACACAATGCATGCCTGGGTGACCTTCAAATAGTGACCTTCAAATAGTGACCAATGGCTCGAAGCAGTCTGCACAAGTTTGTGGGCGTCAGCACAGAAACCAAGGAGTTTTAAATAAAGAAGGCAGGGCTGTGACCTGTACCAAATGATCTTCAAGATGGTACCTAGGTGCAAAACCCTATACAAATACATCAGGAACGCAAGATAGGTACTTGTACAGAAATACTGATAGATACTGATTGATAGATACACCCCGTTAAGTACTTGTACAGAAATGTAAATTCCCGCTGTACCTGACGATAAAAATTACTGGATCCGTTGTCCATGTGATATAAATACGCATCGGTCTAAGCCCATATATTCAGTCACTTACGCGGGTGAAACAAGGCATGTAATATGAACAAAATGAAATACTTCTACTTCAATAAACAAAGCACGGCGTAATCAGCCGCTCGTTCGTAAGTCTAAGCGGTTTTATTACTTGACTCAGTTTTAACCCTATCACGGATTTCAGTCAATCCCTTTCAAAATGAAACTGAACTTCAACACAAGCCATCGGTCGGAACAAAAACAGCACGCATTTTCGAAGGCATTTCAAACAGTGTGAAACGTTCTCATCCGCAGGTGTCCAAGCAGGCGGCCGCGGCGGTGGGGTGCGCGCCGGTGACTCCGCCGCCGGCCGAGCGCCGGCCGGTGCGGTGCAGCGTCAGAGGAGCCGCCGCCGGCGCCGGTGGCACAATCGGCCCATTACCGTGACCACCAGCTCGGCGGGTCAGGCCGAGCCCCCGGCAGTGGCCGGCCGCCCGGGCACCGCGCGGGACTTGCAAAAGAATGGAGCGGCGGGCGCCGGGCTCGGCCGCACGTGCAGTACTCACAGGATTGTGGTGGAGGCAGGCACCTGCGGCAGCTGCTTCAGGCCCAGGAACATGCAGCGCACGGTGGTGCGGAAGCACAGGCAGCGCGGCGGGCAGTTGACCTGACCCAGGGTCACCGGCACCAGACCCAACAGCAGAAGCAGTGCGGCGGCCCACACCGTCGCCATGACAACGCCGCGGCGCGTGTGTCCAGTCTTGGAGGGGTCGGTCACGAAGCTCCTAGCTCATCGCCGACCGGAGCGCACCGTCTCCTCTCCCCGCCCCTCGCTCCCCTCGGCGGTGAGCGTCGCCAGCGACTGACGCGGCTCACGCTCAGGAGCCGCGGCCGGGCCACACGCCCCGAGTCTGCCGACGGCCCAGCAGCGCCATCTGTCGCCTCTTATCGAGACTCTAGTTGGTAACCTGTACGGCTGACGCGTGACGTGCAACCTGCCCTTCACCCCTACCTGACTGTGCAGCCTGCCCTTCACCACTACCTGACGTGCAGCCTACCTTCCACTCCTACCTGACGTGCAGCCTGCACTCAACTCCGCGCCTAACGTGCAGCCTGCCCTCCATCCCTACCTGACGTGCAGCCTACCTTCCACCCCTACCTGACGTGCAGCCTGCCCTCCACCCCTACCTGACGTTCAGCCTGCCTTCCACCCCTACCTGACGTGCAGCCTGCCTCCCACCCTACCTGACGTGCAGCCTTCCTTCCACCCCTACCTGACGTTAAGCCTGCACTCGACCCCGCGCCTGATGTGCAGCCTGGTTGGTGTCACATCCACCCCGTCCAAGTGTCAACACAGCCACCTGAGTGTCTCCTTCACTCTCTCCTGCGCGTCACTTCCACCACCACATGGGTGTCACCTCTGTGACCCTCTCTCGCTGCTCATGTCCTGAGTTTCCATGGACCTTAGACCTTGTGACCTGCCGCCATCAAAATAGTTTCATACCAAAATAACCCAACAAATGTCAACTTTCCCCACTCATATTTTGTTAGGAACATGTCAACGCGTTCACGGGGTTGCATTAGTTTTGTAGGATAGTTGTGCAATACTTAAATTGTTTAGGGCCAACGTCATCGAGTCTCAGCCTTCGGACAGTTCCCAGAGGTCACGATGCGTTTCTGTCGTGGCGGTTCAAGATTTATAGCGAAATGATCCGGATCGCTATTATTTTCGTATCAGCGGTTTTACCACGACGCAGGAAAATCTGTAGTTCGCTCTAACTTTTCATTCTTTGGGGCGTTTCAACAGTTTGAATAGGGCACGATGGCATGAGATCTCGTGGCATCGTGTCACCTTGCATGACCTTCCTGCACATGTGGGATATCGAAAGTACACTTCGAGTCCAAACACATTTTGATCAGTTGCTTCACATGACGACAAGAAAACGGATTTCTCCTCTAATCAACCTTTCGATTCCCTTGTAAAACAACAACAACAGCGAAAAAGGTTTGGATGCTGCTGGGAGCAGCACCTGCGTTCGTCTCGTGACGCGCTGGAGATTCCGAGATGCGGTAGATGGCATTTAATTAGATTAGCGATTCTGTGCGAGGAACTTAGCACAATATTTGTGGTATGACGGCATATTCAATGCCGTACTTATCGTCAAGTGCAGGTTAATGTAAAACATTGTAATTCTATCTCGTAATCGCCATTTCAGTGTCATACGCAAAATGCACCTGTAAGGTGTCAGAGAACACCTATGTGCTGCTAGTGAATGTTTGCTTAGTTTAGCGAGCGCCACTTCGAGGCGCTCGCGTTCCCCTCCTCCTGCCCCGTGCACCCCGTGTGGGGAGACGACCGCGTGGGCCAGGAGAGGGGGATTAACAAAGAAGAAGACTCGGAGAGCCACCGGCGCGAGGACGGATACGCCGGCGAGACGGACTGTGTGGAGTGCCTGTGACGCGTGTCAAATACAGAAGTGACTTTGGACGTGCTGAGTGTACCAGTGAGCCGGAATCGAGACGCCAGAACAGCAGAACTTACACATCCACCTGACGAATGCATGAATGACATTCATCGGAGTTGGACTTTCTCTTTTTCTCTATGCTATGCTCCATTTCTTATGACCTAAAAACAACGCAAAGTTATGTCACGTGGAACGTATTTCATAACTTGATGCATTTTCCCTCCGACACTGCTGTGTATCTCATCGTGCAAAACACAAGATCCGCTTGGCTAACTTATACCAGAGCTTCGGATAACAGCAATGAATCAGCACTCAATTTCACGCACGCCGGTGCAGCTTAATATTAAGAGCATTGACCTTGTCAATACGGTGTCGGCTGGAGGAGACGCTCTTTGTATAAACAGATCAGAGACGGCCGACAATCTGTGCCGGGGACTATCGGACAAATTAATCAGCTGAACAGCATCCACGTTTGTGTTTAAGCACTGAGCGAGTGCTCGATCCTAGCCAAGTTCTGCCGTGGAATTATCTGGATTTAATTTAATTAATTTTGGCCTCCCGTCCCGAGTCTGAAAACAGCTCACGGCACGATTGAAGCTAGAATATGGATGTAGGCAGCCGGTTTTGAATCAGTCGGTACTTCAGTGAAACGCATCCTTGACGCAGTTCACCGTGATGGAATACAGCGTTGCCACTGGGGCAGTTAGAACCAGTCCGATACTCCGGGCTCTTGGTTGAGGCGAACAAACCGCCACTGTCAATCCGACGCGAAGTGCTCGGCGCAGGATGATGACGTTAGCTCATCAGAGCCTATGCGTGTGAGGGTTAAGAGGAGTTTGCTGGCATATCACATCTAAAGGAAGGACCCCACTAGCGTGATCTGCCTGCTATACCCATCATGGGGCCTCCTATTACCGATCTGCGATTTTTCTCTCCATGCCTTGGCCAAAAGATCGACGAGTGCTGAGGAGCATCGCTCCGAGTTTTTTTTTCCTGCGTGTGTGCACCGACCACGCTACCTACTTTCACGTATACACGGATGGCTCAAGGTCTGAAGCAGTGACAGGGTGCACTGCGGCATGTGACAGCTGAACCAAATGTTTTACATTATCCCCTGTTTGTTCTGTTTTTACCTCTGAACTATTTGCAATCACGGAGGCATCAGCCTCTGCGTAGGAGGAACGAGCGGAGCGGTTTCTTATTTTGTCCGACTCCTGGAGCAGTATTCTAGCCATTCACTACTTGAAAATAGAACGCAAATTAATTGACCAGTTTATTCAACTTACTGCATCCGTTGAACAGATCGGGAAGCGTGTTGTCTTTGGTTGGGAGCAATGTGAACCCACCCAGCTCGCTTAAAGTTCGACCGACAAAAGGCATGGAATCGGAAGAGTACTAACGCCTGTGGAAACGTGCGAAGCAGGCTGAGGGCTATCAAGGCAAACCAAGGCGAATGGTAATCCCCTCACCGCAACAATAGAAGGGAGGAAGTTAGCCTGTGCCGTATCCCAATAGATCACACACACGGGTCACATGGTTTTCTCCTCTCACTAGGGCGAGCACTGGAATGTTCTCAACGTGATCACGCGTTGTCCAGCGCTCACGCCCTCGTGCAGCGCACACACTGCCACGAAGCGCCATCGCCCAATCCAGTCGGCATATGCAACGTACGTTGTCCTTGCATTCACTCCTCGGCGAGGACCCGATTTCGACGTGAGAACAGCTCTCGTGTTTGTTATCGACATTGAATACACGATCGTTTATTCACCTTTACGGCATTTCATGACGTCGCACACCCTGGTTGAAGGCACCCTAGCTTACCTGCTTTGCACTCTGAGTGCTGCGACCGCTTATTTTGCACAAATTGTGCGTTTTGGGCACGCTTGGGAAACCTACAACAGCGCCCTTATTTGAGAAAACACAACACAGGTTTGCACAGCCATAGTTTGGGCGCGAAATGACCGCTGTCGACGCGCCTTAAGCCCAAATAACAACAGCTCCCTGACGAATATGGTTGTTAGGTTTTTGGACGAGGATCCGCGGAACTGCGCCCTTTACTATGACTGCTCTGGTGAATCGACCACTGAGCTGGCATGCTGCTCCAGTCACTTTTACCCGTGAACGAAAACATATTTTAAACACGAACTTTACAAAACATGAGTCGAAAGGACTGCCCCAGGTCAATTAGTCGGCACATAGTGGAGCTTAGCAAGCATGGCTATCAAGTCCAGGTACCGTCTGCGTATTATACATGACAGGACGAGCCTTTGGCGATTAGAGAGGCGATAGTCCATGGCTATTTCGCTGAAGCCTATTTGTGTGTGATCCTAGACGTCAGGCAGGGGCTTTCCGTTGTGATTAGTCGCAGTGGCCCGTGCGCCTGCTTGACGTTCGCTGACGGGAGGAGATGGAGCAGCAGGTATGCTAGGCCCGAGCTGCTGATTTTTGATGGCCTAAAGCATGGCGTCGTTATGGTGCAGCTTTGCCTCCGGCGACGGATGCTAAAGATTCGGACCATGACATCTGCCCTGGAACAGTTTCACAGATGGGCGTGCAAGGTAGCGTAACAACAAGATCACTTCACGAATGTAGTTAGTGCGAGGATGGTTTTCAGCATGTGCCGTATGATCAAAAATCTCTTCGTTACCTCCGTACCTCTAGCGTGCTCGTGGAATGGTAGCGAGATGACCGATGCATTTACGGGGAGGAGGAAGAGGGAGGGATACCTGATGGCGCACGTGGGCCAGATCGATGGAGTTTCATTGTACTTCTAACGAGGGCAAATGTGTAATAGTCCCAAGTGATATTCCTGCCGAAAGAGCACCCAGCTTTTTCACCTTGGGATGGTACGCAATGCAAAATTCAATGAAGATTGGCACCATGCCACAACAGGTTTGGGTAGGAACCAAAAATGGTCAGTTCAGCTTTGGTTGTGTTGAGGTTCAGAGTGTGAAAGTGTAGCCAGGTGTCTGAAGATGATAAAACACGCTCCCTAGTACCAATTATCCGAGGGTATAGGCACTTTTACCTGAGAATAAAACTTAAACTTACCAATGTACTGCACCGCGTGAGTCCCGGTATTGAGAGAAGAAGTTGTCACAAAATATATGGAAGAACAGGATCTGTCCATAAGGGGTCTCTGGAGGAGGAAGAGTACGGAACACTTCTCTCCGAATACCCCAATGCTTCCGGGTTGCGCTTTGGAGAAGCATCAGCTACCACTTCTCCTTCATCTATACATTCAGACTTGCCTTGGCCACAAATGTGCTAACCAAACCAGATAAGTCACAGAGCAGGTCTGAAGCCAACTAGCCAGATTTCTCTGCACCGCTTAACACGCGCCTGAGTGGCCGGTTAAACACCCTTCGTTCGCGTGCGGGTACT